ACTTTTAATAAAGTGTTCATCTGAATCAAACGGCCTTTTATTTTACTAATTCAACTGGAAAATAACATTTTAGTTTTTTCCCCAATTCAGTTAAATTTAATTGATCTATCGTTAATAAAAATAAAACATATCTTCAATATTGACAATCGATTACACACTCATGAATTTATCACATCTCTTTTATTACAATTTTTACTCAGGTTGTTTAATGTTTTCTATACTGAACACAAAAAATATAGGAATTATTTATTTCATTAGACTCTTTGCTGAAGTTTATAAGAAAAAATCAAAATAAAATGAGCATCTATAGATGCATACACTGTGTACAAAAGCATAAGTTACAAAGTTGAAACATGTCATGTACAGTGAAGTGCTGCGGTGTATGACTGACAAGAAGACATGTGCCACTTAAATAAAAAGCAATTTCAGAGAAAGTAACATAAAAAAAAATGCTACATAAAGTACTTCTTTCTTAGATATTTGATTTATGTTTCAAAGAGTAGAAATTAATTTAGAAGAAAACTTTTTTTAATTTTACCTCCGATTAGTGGACTGCACATCGTATTGTTTTATTTTAAAGCACTTTGAAGTGTTAGAGAAATTACCATGATTCTAATCAAATGAGTAATGCCATTTTAAAACACTTTAAAGGCATTGAAATAGAACATATCCAAATTGAATATTTGCAGTGTGGTTAAAAAAAATTTAAAGCAAAATCGAAAATGAAAAATGTTTCAATATACAATTTCAACTAAAGTTTGTAGTTTGCCTCAATCATTTCTATGATTGGTACAAAATACTAGGATTTACACAATCTAGGGATATCGTCGAATGATGAACATTTCAATTGATAAATATAATTAATATTAACTGATATCAAATAGTATCATGCTAATGAAGCTTCCAATTTGTAAACATAATTCAAGTGAGAAATGCACGTAAATGTAGTTTCAAAGCATGTAGTGGTCGACGAAAACATGAGAATTTCAGATTATTCCTCTCAAATTATAAATCTTGTATTGTTCATCACTAATATTCGAATAATCCTGATATGATGACGTCAAAGTATTTATGCACTATATTCAACTTTGTTATATAATATTGATTATTTATCCTTTATCGTTTAATATCAGCATACTTAATATTGATAAGTATTCTTCGACCTTTTTAGGGCAATTGAATCATACTGAAAGGTTACAGAGAAATGTTAGTTTTCGTTGACCTCTGTGAATTAAACTTGGTAACTTAAATATTAGTTAGCTATTTTCGGAATAATATCATTAAAACTGTATATTATAACTATATATTATTATATTAAATTGATGATAAAGTTGACGTTGAGTTTTTGATGTTTTGTTCAACAGTGTAACAACATTTTATTAAACTTTTCTCACTGTACATAGAAATTCTTGTTATGTATAAAAACTAAATTAAGTATTTAGTAAATACTTTATCGGAATAAAATTATTTTCAAAATTAAATTTCTAATGAATTCGTTTATAGGCAAATAATAATGCATTAATCTCTTGATTATTTGATAAATAGGTCATACGAAGAGATTTGCTTCGGTTTAATAATTTATTTCAGTTTATTCTCTTTATTTTCAAATGAATAATGTAGACTTTTTTATTTCATTTATTAAATCTCAACTCTAATTACTCTGGATTTATTATATGATATTCAAATCTCACCCGATGTCATTTATCATCTGTCTCTAACGAGGCTCTAAGCTCAAATATACCTCAAATGTAATTTATGGCCCTCTGCATGTCGTAACATATCTAAAAATGATTAGACTACTTCAATACGTGATGAATCAAAAATAATCGGAGGCCGATTTGATCCCTTAACACTACCCTAGTTTTTTAGCTGAATTGATAGGGGGAGCATAAGATGCTTTACTTTCAAAGTGACCCTCTTCAAAACCTAACAAACTAGAGAGACTTCAAACGGCTCCTTGATTTCGTGAAAAATTCATTCAAAGCCCAATAAAAAGAAAGTCTTGATCTTTTTCAAAAAAAAAGAAACAAAAAATTTTGAATTATTAACTGAGTTGCTTTTATTTCATGTTAACTGCACTTAATTCTAGGAAGTAAATTAAAGGAAAACAATGGTTGTTTGAACCTGGTTTCTCTCTGTTTAGTTTGTTAGTTATAATAATGGTCGTCATATTTGGAAGGACCCTTTCTCTACCACAAATATATACATGAAGGACAACAGTAACAAAAGAGACACTCTGATCTTCGGATCAACAGAGGAAACTCAAAGAAGATTGTAAAGCTTGTGACCAAAGTTTTTCTCAGGAGCAAGGGATGAAAATAGAACGTTCAAGCATGCGTACGACTTCAAAGCTCCTTCATGTTTTTAATTTAGTAGTATTGGAATTTTTAACTCAAAGAAAAAATGTTTATAAATGCTTGTCTCGTGTTTTGGTTTTAAACGTAAAAATAAACTTACAAGCATACCTGTGGCATATATTTAACAAATTTAACTTGTTTGGTAATTTGATTTACCTGCATCAGAGAATAACGCGAAAATGAATTAAGGCTTGCGTATATATGTATATGTTACCACTAAAACCCAATATATATTTGTGTATACACGTCACTCAATTTCCCATTGTTTCTAGTTAGTAGATGTGTGCATCTGATGTAACGTTATACGTTTGTATAGATCTCAAAGGATAAATTGCCCGAAACGTTTGAACGCTAATCAATTCTAGAGCTACTTCATTCAAGAGAAATTCCACAGAAATTGCGGAAATCTTTTACATGCTGTACTGCTAGTTTAAGAGGGAATTTTTCATGGTAAATCTCTATTGTAAGGAATTTAAAAAGAAAATCGATTGATAAGTTTATTAATTAATCAAGAAAAATAATAACAGTGATATAATAAATATTTTGAAGAGATGAAAGAGATTGAATTTTATTACTTTATAAATTTCCGATAACTGTTGGATTATATCAAGTTTAATTTTATTTATTTGGGATTTATTTAGCACTATAATAATAAAAAAAAAGAGTTAAAAATGCTGCTTGACAAATATTGATTGCTGTAATTCCATTTTTGAATTGAATAAATTGGTGAATATTTATCGACAAATTTTGTTAAAAGGTCTTTCTAAATATATCATGCAATATTACACTGAAAATCGAAAATTTTTTGAAGTTGTAATCTTCAATCAAGCTTGAATTTTGGGTTTAATAAATTATTTTACAAACCAATATCATCATGGACATTTTTGATATAATATTAAATTCTCTTTATAAAATATACATAATAAATAAAGCTTTATTACACTGCAAATCCTAGTTGTAGACACTTTTAACTCACTAAGCCTCTTCAATATTAAATGCCGTAACCAAATTATAGATTTTTCACACACTTTGAAACGTGTAAAAAGTGTCTACAAATCATGCATAGTTTCACTGCAAATTTCAAATTGTAGAAGTTTTTTAATTTAAAATACTACGATTTGCAGTATTGTTAATGGGCATTTTACATTAAAACAAACTATACACGTATTATTTTAACACGTATGCAAAATTTTTAGATGTACAGTGTAGTGGAAAAACTTGTTTTGACCCTTTTAAAAATTATTGGATAGCAAAATAAACGCATTTTTTCTCAAGTAAAAAGAAAAAAAAAACATAAAACCTTTTTAAGGTCTTTTTCTAAAAAGAATTCACATTTTTAGATTTATAATGAAGTTTTTTTTTGTGCACTTCAAAGTCAGCCTTCAAAAGGATAAACTTTATTATTAACCTGGCCTTACTCTATCTTTAACATTTAATTAAAATCAAATCCATGACGAATGAATGTATATAAAAAATTGCCTGAAATAATAACTTTTTTTTATTTATAGTTGTTAATTTATTCAATTTGCAAATCTATTTTGTTACGAGTTATTCAAACAAACTTATAATACAGATCCCTCGTAATTTCAGTCTTAATTTGTCTTAGATTAACAAATTTTATTAATTATTAATTAATTTTTCTTTATCTATAACTGTATCAATATATTAATATTTTTATATCCGTAATGTTAAATGTATGTGTTAATTCAACATATTGTTTCCATGATATTTAGAATATATTCTAAGAGACAAATATATTTGCCTCTTGAATTATAAATTATCTATCCCATATCTACTTCAACACGTTTCTCATATATTCTAGAATTATGATATTCCATTAATACATTTCCTTGTTAAGTGCATATGTTTGAATCCTATGAATTTATTAAAATGGTAATAATATATCAGAAAAAAATATTATCTGATATAAATCATCGTTTATAATTTTTTATCTATTTTATTATTTAACCCCAATGAGATTACATAATGTGATATTTATCTATAATTTGTTTAGAATTAAATTCTAGAGTAGGAATAATGTAAATAAAAAAAAAAGTGGTGTAATGCTTTACAATGTGTTTACATATTACGTCAACCTTAGATTATTTATTATTCATATGTGAATGTATAAAAAAGTTTTTCTGTAATATTAATCATTTTTGTCTAAATAATGTTTAATGTAATAAAAAAAAACCAATGTCACATAAAAAGAGATTAAAGCATTTTTTCATTAAACTCGTACTTCATTAAAAGAGACAACTTCCCTCTAATAAATTACAAAGTGACATTTTTTACTCAGTTTTAAAAATGAGTAAGCATTTCTTTTTACATTCATTTATAAAAAAAACATAATAAGAAATATTGAAATTAAGAGTTTAATCAACGTAAGATCTTTTTCATTATTTTAATTAAAAAGAACGAAAAATCTTTTTTGGGACAGACGTCATGCATCAATGAATTAATTTCACTTAAAAATAGATGTAATAAAAGAATAGTGAACGTTATATTATTAAATGGGGTTTGATCAGTTATCTGTAGTATCTAAAGCGAATTTCTTAAAATAAAATCAAGTTCATTATGAATGTATTGTATTGAGTCAGCTTTAAAGCTAAGCTGTAAATTCGATTGTCCTACTTCACGTACCTGGAAATCCGCGTGTTGGAGAATCTACATCCAAGGATGAGGACCCACCGCCGCCCTCGCTCAGCAGTATTCCAGAATCGAAAGAAGAGGACATTGATCGTTATTGTATACCTCCTTTCACTTTTGATGAAATCCTCCTGTTTTATTTTTTTCTTTCCTTCTTACGTACTTTACCACCATCAATGAACCCCACTACATACGGTATCAGGCACTAAATGAAACGTCAAAATTCATACTATTATGTTAGTTTAACAGGAATATCATAAAAAACCATTTTTGTGTTTGAAAAGGGTAGTTAAATATAAGCCTGATGTTTCTTCATAATTTTTCAATATTAATTGACATTCAATAATGTCAGCAATAAATTTTCACATTTATACACCCCTGTCAATAAGTCTATAAATTGAAGTTTCCCCACATTATCGACGATTAGCTTATCAAATTTATTATGTAAAAAATTTAAATTAAACCACAGAATTTTTTCGATACTGTAGAAAGTATCGACTTTTAGTTTAAAGTGGGAAGCTTTAATAAAACTTAATAAACCCTAGTTTTTTTCTGATATTACTCATCGACGTAAACTTGTTGAGATAATAAAAAATTTATTAAATTATTGTTGATATTTAATAGATATTCTTATTGTAGTATATATTATATCAAAAGAAATATATGTGTTCATTCGAAAAAATAAGATGTTTTTTTTAATTTTAGTCAATTTAATACCAATTGATAAGATCTGAATAATACTGTCAAGAAGAATTTAATTTGATATCAAGGAAATCATTTGAAACTTGCCGTCAAAGCTTGTTATTAAATTCTTATTATTAATTTTTTATATTCCAAGTTATTAGTATTCCATGAAATTTTTTAGATTTTTTAAATATCTCAGATCGTGGATAATTTAAAAGGATATTGGTCTAAATATTGTCTAAAAATGTTATTAGCTCTGAATTGTATCATTTATGGACATGAATTATTCAATTAAAGCTGATGAAACTTAACATGTTTTATTGAATTTTAAAAAATTGTAGATATTCTTCAATGTATATTTTCTGGCTGAATTCTACCAGAAGGTTTTTTATTCAAATAAGGATCTGATCAAATATTCGTGGGAAGAATCATGTTTTGACTAGGATTCAAATCAGATAAAAAAACATTCCTGTTGAACTTGATTACCAATGTATATTACGGAGTACTCTCTCACAAGTCTAATGTGTACTAAATTGAAAGTATCGTCGTACTACAATTTTAATTGGTTATTCGTCGCAATAATAAATCTTTTTAATAATTTTATCAAGTCTAAGTGATGAGTTACATAAATTTTTCGAAGCTATTTTTTTCATTTTATTTAAATAAAAAAGTGACGAATAAATTTATTCAAGAAAACTTTTATCACAGAAAGTAGGCCACTTAATAATAAAAAATTAGAAATAATTTTTACTTATTCCATAAAAGTCTGACTATTTCTTAGTTATTAATTATATTAGTAAAATTTACTAATATACTTAATAATACTAATATACAACTTTTTACTGTGTGCTTTAAAGCTTTTAATAAAGTAGATAATTGATTAAGAATTTAAAAAAATTATTCTTAGCGTTTTTACTAATAATTTGTTGCTATTCATTACCACTTCAAATAAGATAATTTATGCTCTAGTCAAACTCACATTAAATTGAAGGAATTTCTGTGTGAGTTTGTAAGAGCTAAACAGAGCAATACTTGACTTTCGTTCCAATATTTGACTGAATGAATTTGACAAAGACAAACAATATTTCCATACCGATTTCTTTTTGTCTTTTATTTTAGCGCTGACTTGCTTCTTGATGTTTTACCTTACAAATTGTACTTTTAATGAAAATTATAATTCTATTTTATTTTTCAATTAAGTTTAATTACATTTTATTTAAATACTTTTTCAAAGCTCGAAGGTGAATATTGTTAAGAATAAATTTTAATAAATTATTATTATTATTTTTCTCAATAAATATTTAATTGAATATTAAATGTTTTAAATACTATATTATGACTAATTGAAAGTTAGTAAAATATAATTTGATTTTAGTTCGTATATGGGTATGAACAGATAAATATTGAAATTAAAATAATGTTGTTTTCCATAACACAGTGATGCAAATAATGGCGTTATCGGAAAATACAATTTGATGCAACGTTAAAAGCATACTCAATAACGAAGTAATTGAATAAGAAATAGAGAATGTGAGTAGTAAATGAGTTAGCGGAAAAATGAATCTAGTCAAGCAAATGGGCATCGATCGACCAGGTATTATAAAGGTATCCGTTTCCCCGTCCTACTTATTTTGTCGAGATGCGCGCGATTCCGCGGAGAATATATTCGTTAAGTATTCTCGAATGATCCTCAAGGATTACTCTCGAGAATTTTTCCAAAAATTTGACAAAAAGCGATAAAAATTTCTAGAGTTCATATAACCATTGTAGTTTTGCATCTATTTTTAGACTATTTTTTTCTTTTATCTCTCGATAAAAAATTCTCCTCCATGCATTTTTGACCATTCTGAGCCTTATAATATTTTAACTTTCATATATTCAGTACAAAAAAAAAAGAAAAGAGAAAAATTTGATGGAAATTTCCGTTATCATGTTAAATTTTGTTTTAAAACTACTCTGATTTTTATTGTTTGCTTCATTATATTTATTATAGTACTTTTTTAATTTTTTAAATCTTTTAGTACAGAAAGTTTGCAATATTTAACGATAGAAAAATATCACAATTTTTATTCAACTGTGATAAAAGTAGAATGATGAAGTAAACACGATTTATTGTGATGTAAAAAAGTTTAAATAATTACTCGCGTCATTTTTTTACTGATACTTTTGTTAAAAATTTTATTATTTGTATAAAATTGTATTGAAATTTTTTATCTTTCGATTCTGTAAATCATTCTATATTACAAAATTTACTTATTATTTCTTTTTCTCACGACATGATAGAATATTATTCTAAAAATAAAAAAAAATGATACAGTTTCATTTTTCCTAGCTAATCCTCAATTTCATTCACAAAAAAAATTTATACAAATATTTATCTAATATTTCACCCAAGCCATCGGTCTAAAAAAAATATTTCAATATTTCTATTCCGTCATTCAAGTAAATATAAATTAATAAACTTTTTTCTACACCAACTAAATCAATGAATTTGTTATTTATCAACATTACCAGCAAAAAAACGTCAAGACCATTCACGCACTCTAGTCAGCGATCGGTTCTTTTTCCAAATTCAATTTATTAGATCAAATACACGATTAAACACAGAAAAGTGTATTAAAAATAAATACTCTATTGTTCAAAAGGTTAAGCTCTATCGATTCCATATAGGCTAAACGACAGACATTGTTATACCATGTCACTTCAATGCATAGAAAAATATGGCCTAATTTTCTTTTTTTTTTTAATTTCTTCTCTAGATACTCTTATGTATGAATATAATAACTAAGTAAATAATAGTCTGTTCAAATACGAGCTTTCAAGTAAATATAGGGTTAAAGATTAAGGCGAACTACTGAAATCCTCGACAGCCTCATACACAATTTTGTTGTTCGTATATCAAATAAATGTCTAGTACGAGAATTCACGTCAAAAATAAGAAAAAAAACTGGATGAGATTACGTGAAATACTTGATGCGCATTTAATCCTTCACGTTCAACATGCTCGTCACGAACGCTTGAATACCTTACGGTCTTTAGATACAGATGTTACACTCTCATTTCCCTCCAAATTCTTTCGAGTAAAAAAAATTCCTCAATTCAAGAAATATTTGTGCTTTCCACATTTTCATCATTATTTCTAATATTGATTTTATTTCGACTCCACACAAAATCCAAACAATGATGTTGGGGAATTTAATAAAAGTACAACATGTAGATAGCCAGAATGAAAAAAAAAAAAAAATAGGAAAAGTATACATTTAGCTAAACAGTTGGCAGACAGCAGTCGACGTCCTGGCCAGAATCAACAGTTTGCTCTATCGATTGGCGGTGTTGCCCATATGCCGCTGGGCCGAACTCATCACTCACGTTTTTCCCAGGGTCTCTTAGGAAATTTCCCAGGCCTGCAAAGTCCACGATGTAAAATCTTTGGAACCCTCTTATTTAACAATATGATTGTTAAACGTGGTATTCGAGACCATTAAAATAGTTGAAGCCGAAATTTTGCAACTCTCTCCATTATTGCATCAGAAAGTAAACAAAAATAAAAAAAAAAATTAATCTACAATATTTAATATTTACCATTTTTCTCTCTGGTTTGATCGAACTGATATGAAACCAAAATGTAATTGAGTTTACTATACGTTCAGCTACTGTAAATCAATAAATTTAGCCTGAAGGCATCATTTCACTGACTACGCTCCATATCTCTGTTAAGTTGATGCCTCAGGATACCCACAAGTGGTTGAAATTTTCCCTTGTGTTGATTTCACTTAGGAAACTATTCGTTATCTCAAAACATCCTCAAGCAGACCATAGCAGATAAATATAATATGCATAATTTATTTGATGTTTTATTATAATGACAACATATAAAATATATGTCTCTTATTATTTTTATTATTATCGTTATTATCTAGATAAATATAAATGAAATGAACAATCGAGATGACTGACTTATATACGTCGAGTGTTTACATAGATAGTAAATATGTTTCGCTTGTTCATGGTTTATTTATACCTTCGCAACTGCTACCTGTTGGCTACTATGTTATACTGCTAGACAGGGGGAGCAACCCAGCCGAGAATTCCACGTTGGAAATGAGAATTAGGTCAACTGCTGAAAGTAGGTCATCACAAGCCGAGTCAGAGCAATATTCACCCCCTGTCTCTTTTCGTCTCACCCTTTTGTCCCCATCTTGTGTTCTCTACCCCTTTTCTTTCACTTCTCCATTATCCCTCTCCTCGATTTCGATTCACGAGTATTCTTATCTGTTTCTAATATACTTCAATATAAAAGAACCCTCGAAATTTCACGGACTTGGGCACTAGTTTACATCTTATATATAAAGTTTTTTCCTCGGTAAAGCTTTCTATACTTCCTTTTTTTTCAACAGACGTCCATCAAATAGATTCAAACTTCTCGGATACATTTTAATATATTTTGTGTCAAATTTGAAATAAAATTACTTTATTTATGACAATGGGTTGTTGGAATTTCATTATTTAATTTGACATTTA